CCTAAACATTCAGCGCTTTCCATCAGCTATATTCTAACAGGATAATGGTGACCACACGTGCACGCAATTTTCAAGAGTTCATCTTTACCCATCAGACTGAATTGCTTCTTTGGTTTTCTTGTTCTCCCGATCTCTTTCACCAATCGAACACGTGAGTCCATGCTTGCACAACGACTGCCCCGGGATACACCACCCGCGGTTATACCTGATCAACTTTGGCAATATGTGGAAGCCGCCTGAACTGCTGTACCCCAAGATACATTCAAAGCCTCTTTGATTCTACACCGTTGCAGCGGTTATAGCCAACAGTGTGGCTACACTTACTACTGATTTTGTCATCAATCACACGTTACAAAAGGCTATAATTTTGATCTTTATACACCATGTTATCTGCCAAATAAATTTCGCTGTGATATTTCTTATCCGTTTTGGTGTTGTATTTTGTGTGTCTATATATATAGCAGCCTATATATGCACACGCAGTTTGAAGCTCGGTGCAATACCAAGTCTTACATCGCATTGGAAACAGTAGTAATATAAGCTTCCTTGGATTATCTTTCCATTTTTTTCTCAATTGCAGGCAATGAGGTTAATTCATGTGACGTCATAGTCACATGATAGTGAAAGCCACGTGTATCTAGCCAATCAATTCAAAAACTCATGTGACGTCATAGTCACACGATAGAAACTATCTTGTGTTTCCAACTAATCAGTTCACGCGCTCCGGTGTTGCCAAGTTTTGCTCTTTGCAGAAACTTTCTCTTAAAAAGTACATATGTATACAAAATGCATTTTATTTAAAAGCATAAATATAAAACACGACTTATTTTTAATTAAAAAAAATCTTTTTGAGGAAATTTTTTCCCCTAACATTTAAACATCTTTACCCAAATATGAAATTTGAAATTTTATCTGAGTTTTACAAATAGAACAAGTACAATTAGTTTAATGTTTGTATTGAATTCAATGGAAAACACGTGTTTGCTTTTATCATGTGACTTCATGAATTAAGCCCATTGCACATTACCTTGCCAATCCGTGTTCTATGTCAAATATTTTCACTAATCTAAATACTTGCCTTCAATGAAAAATCCCAGCCTTTCCCACAAAGAATACCAAGATGTGGAGTATTTCATCACCACGAAAAAACTATATCATTTAAAAAATTCTATTTTTTTTTTTTTTTAATATCACCATAAGAATTAAAAACACGTGCAAATTAAAGACAGAAAGAAGAAAATATCAATGCCCGTGCAGCGTAGCGGGCAAACCGGTTGTGGCCAGGTTTCGGTAGTCCGTACGGTGAACGGTTAACCCAGTTAAACGGTTAAATGATGAAACTGCGAAAAATAGTAAGAAGAGATAATAAAATTGAGTGAATGAATCTCCAAAGCATTTCCATGTTGAAATGGAAATAATGATTTTTTTTCCCGCATTTCCTTAACATTTTATTTAACATTAACCTTTTTTTCTTTTTCCATTTTTATTTATTGAATGTTACATCCATGCTCTCTCCATGGAACTTTTTTTACTTCAATTTCGATCTTATTTTTTAATAAATAAT